CACACACACACACACATATATGAAATAAATAAACTAGACTTACATGCACTAGCCTCCCCAACATCCGTTTTTAACAGTATCTGGAAATGGGCACCATCCCAACAGCCCAAACAACATGGCTGTGCTAGAGGGTAAATGAGTCTCTTCAAGAGATTGGAAGTCTGGCCCCAGATTAAAATCTCATGATTAAAATGCACAGCATGCTTACACAGGTTCTGAACAAGTACACTTCACTAAGGACCACGAAGACAGGAGTCACGCACGGGAACAACTTTTACAGACTCTGCCGGAACTATCCCCATTAGGTTGTCCCTAATTTAAGTCACAAGGATGACACATCTAACAGAGCATCAAATACTAGGAAGTCCTGGCCCAAATTTATAAGTCAAAAATACATTCCTAGAACACACTTCCTTTGAAGCGAAAAAGAAGCATTAATGTTTTTTTTCCCCACCAGTTACATACCTCCCTGAAATGTGTGACAAATATAATCCCCAAAAGAGATCTCTTTCCACAGTCCAGGCCTTCTGACACTTCCTTCACCAGCTAGCTGAAGCATTCTGATGGCTTGCCTTAGAGTTCTTGTGTCTTTATGTAAGGCCACTGATGCCTAGCGTTTTCCAAGCTGTCTAGTGCATTGAAATCACAAAGCATGTCTATTTTGAAAGAGAATCCTGAACACAAATTGAAACAGACACCAACTAAAGCATGATGCAATCCAGGAACCCCCGGGAACACTAAAAATACATACAGCAACTCTGGACAGTGTTTATGAATAAAGCCCGCTCCTCCTCTGTGAAGGGGCAGTCCCAGCAATGAGGGCCTATCTGCTTCAGTTACTTTGACGCTATGTCACCGCAATTACGGCGAATTGTTTCTGGAAAGGGATGGAGACTGGCCTCTACAGAGCAGGACATGTTTTAGATTTTAACCAAATCGTAGCAATTTCATAGTGGGAGGAAACCTCCATTTTTGGTGCTTTCTGTGGAGCCACTAGTGTACAAATGGGTTTAACGAAGTTTTCCTGGGACAAATGGCCAATCAGTTCCCTTTGCAAAGGATGCCACAATAGACATACACACAGAAGGCCACACTGACTGCTTTTCAATCAAATTAATTGGTCATTTCATTTCCCAAGGAAAAACAGTCTTATCACAATGCCCTTTCTTGTTAGTTTCACTCAAAGTGCTGCAGAAAAATAATGTTATATAAGAATTCTTTTGGTTAGTAGAAAGACTCCCGAGATAGCCTTTAGAACCCACTATTCTGTTTACTTACATACTAACTGTGACCAGACCCATCAATTTCCAAGAAAATCAAGCTGCAGATCCTTCAGCAATTGGTACAGACGTCAGTTGCTACTTCAAGTGACAAGGTACAGTTTAACCTATGCACTCGGCACAAAAGTACAAGGAAAGCTTACCTTCTAGAAACACTCTTCATCTGAGTTTTCAAGGAGGAATTTTGGAGGTGTTGGAAATAAATTGAAGGATTTTTTTTTTACCTGACAGTCCACCATAGATCTCTTCTGCTATCCTAGCTGCCTCTTTTCTGTTTCCTTTGACGACATAGAAATGGGTTAGGAGAGCCAAGAAAACTTTAATTAAAAGCTTGAAGAAAAAAAATGTTGCAAACATGGTCAGAAAAATGTTTTTAAAGCCATAGAAAGCAGGACCATCTTCCATATTGGCTTCTTCTCGGCATAGGTTTCGAGGGCTGCACATTTTTACCGAGTTATAATTGGCATCATATGACTTCTATTTTTAAGCCTCCTAGCACTCGGTGCTCCTGTTACCAAGAACTGTCTGTAGGTTCTAATCTAACACTGATGTGGAGAGTTAGATTAACACTGGGAATGTTGATATTTATGACAATGTTAAACAACTTCCTTCTAATAAGAAACACTCAGTGCTGGCCTGGAAGGATGGATGGATTCGACTCCCAGCACATGGCCATTCCAGACCATCTGTAACTCCAGTGGTCTCTTCTGGCCTCTGTAGGTATGAGGCATGCACACAGTACACATATAAACATGGAGGCAAAGCACCCACACATATAAGATAAATAATAAAAAAAACGTTAAAAAATACTTGGTGTTCACACCCAACATTGAATTTGATCAAAACACATTAGATGCATGCATAGAAGTCTCAAACAAGAAAAAAAAAATAAGGAATTCCTATTTTAACTGCACTTCAATGTTCCTTCTAAACCCTTAGTTTTGGTATAGTAGGATGGAAAATGGGATTGGAAAAATAAAAGGAACTTCTACATTGCTACAGTAACAAAGCAATACAAGAAAGTGGGAATAAACTGTGTTCATCATAGAAAATACAGTTCGTAGGAGTTCTTCACTTGCTTTTCATGTAGTGTAAGTCCAAATCTAAACTATGACTAGTCAAAGAAAAAAAAAAGACTCTTGGTGGTAAGGTAATACTGAATACAAGGCCTACCTTACATGTTTCTCCAGACAAAAGCTAGGGTGTGACTGGACTGCTGAGATGATTCTGGTGACAGTCCTGACACCTGTGACAAGGTCCCCCAGCAAGGTCCTTCTCACTTGTTCACTTGTTTGAAGCTTCGGAGAGGATGGCAACTCCTCCTGGAGGATGTGGCCCATTCTCAATCTTGGAAGTGTGATACCAAAATGGATGAATGCCATGCCCTAGCTTCCAGATGAAGTACCTTCCTTAGCTGGGCAGGGTTCTCTTATCAGCTGGCCAATACAAGTAAAACTCATTTGTTTTTAGTCTCCCTCACTATTAAGTTTCTTCTTTTATTCTTTGCTTATAAGAGTTTTTTCAAAATTTCTAAAATCTACTGAAAGTACAAGTGCATTAATCAGGGATTTCTAGAGGAACAGACTTTATAAAACAAACAAATACACACACACACACACACACACACACACACACACACGAGTGAGAGAAAGGGGTGGGATTTATTAGAACGACTTACAGACTGTGGTCCAGCTAGTCCAACAATGGCTATCTATCAATGGAAGGTCCAAGAATCCAGCGGTTGTTCATCTGACAAGGTTGGATGTCTCAGCTGGTCTCCAGTAAAAACAGGAATCCTGAAGAAGTCGGCTCCAATGCCAGTGAAAGAATGAACTTGCCAGCAAGAGGGAGGGCAAGCAGGCCAAGAGCAAGCTCCCTTCTTCCATGCCCTTTACACAGGCTGCCAGTAGAAGGTGTGGCCCAGATTACAGGTGGATCATCCCATCTCAAAGATCCGGATTAGAAGTGGGTTTTCCCACTTTGCATGATTTAAGAGAAAAAATCCCTCACAGACAGGCCCAGCCATTTGTGTTTTAGTTAATTCCAGATGGATTCCAGCTGAAAACCACGGGCAGCCCTCACAGAAAGCAAAAGTACAATTTTAAGAGCAGAGTGACTTTAAAAGAAATATTTTATATATGTGAATATTTTGCCTGTATGTATATATGTGTACCACATGAGTGCCTGGTGTGTGTTGAAAGTCAGAAATGAGTGTTGAATCCTCCAACTGTAGCTACTGATGTCTGCAAGGATATCTTACCCACTAAGCCATCTCTCCAGCCCCAAGAGCACTTTTTAAATAAATGCTTTGTGTCAAAAAATATGACTTTATCCAGCAAATTGGAATAACTATCTCTATAGGAACTGATTTAGTAAACTTTTCTTTTTTGAGACGGGGTTTCTCTGTGTAACAGTTCTGGACTAGGCTGGTAGAGACCCTCTTCCTCTTGGATGCTGGTATAAAAGGCATGTACCACCATGCCCAGCTTAAGGTCTGCAAATCTTTTTAAAGGCATCTTCTGGGGGACAAGACTTACCTTCCACCTCCCAGCTGTATTTATCAAAGAATCCATAACATAATAAAATATTTTACTCTCGTTTTTTTTTAAATGGGGATGCTTATGGAATGACACTAGACATTGTCAACCTCTACACATACATGCACACAAAGATTCACTTGCACATGCGCACCCCCAATCCAGCCACAGGATAATCTCATTTTAGATCAAGCCACCTTGGAGCCAGAGAGATGGCTCAAGAGTTAAGAGCACTGGCTGCTCTTACAGAGAACCTTGGTGTGGGAAGTCCTTCTGTATATGCTTTGTTTTTATTGGTTAATGAATAAAGAATCTGCCTTGGCCGGAGATATGGCAGCATAGAGCTGGTGGGGAGGGAACTAAACTGAATGCTGGGAGAAAGAAGGTGGAGTCAAGAGAAGCCATATAGACCAGCCAGAGACAGACACCTGACAAAACCTTGCTGGTAAGCCACAGCCATGAGGCGCTACACAGATTAATAGAAATGAGTTAAATTAAGATATAAGAGCTAGCCAATAAGAATCTAGAGCTAATAGGCCAAGCAGTGGTTTAATTCATACAGGTTCTATGTGGTTATTTTGGGGCTCATAACCATTTACAACTCCAGTTCCAGGAGATCAAACACCTTCTTCTGGCCTCCATGGGCACCATATATGTAAATGTTGCACAGACATACATACAGACAAAACACACACACATAAACACAAATTTTAAAATTAAAAAAAAACTTTAAAAGATCAAGCCACCTTCCTTTGTGAGACAGATCTAAGCATAAATGAAAATAATTGCTTACCACTACTTATCGTTGGGGAACAATAAGCTCTTTTAAATAAAGTCAAATTCAAATTTCTCTTAAAACAGCTGGCAACATACAAAGTATAATTACGTAGTTCACACACAATAGTGTGTGGATGTATTCATTTGCCTTCTGTGATAACTGACAGTGAAAAACAAGGGCTTATTGGAATCAGGAAACAAAGGTACAATTGAACTTGCTATTTCAAGAATACAAAAGAGCACATATTCTAGAAATAAAAGATGACAGAGTGGTACATCAGACAAAGGACACTTCCTGTTTTACTAAGAGACCAAGCAACACATTAGCTCTACTTAGAAAACGGGAGGAGAGGGTGTTCCATAAATAACATCCTGGTCGCAAAATAAGACAAGCTGAGAAAACTACTAAAAGATCATTCTTGTCTTTATTACTGGATATGAGCATGTTTTAATAGATGGGGTTCATGTATGTGACTGCAACATCAAAATAATACAGCGTCTTTTCAACAAATTCCTCATCCACGTTAATTTCCTTGTTCAATAATTCTGAGTAGCAGTGTGGAACAGGGTTTCCACGCTGAGTAGTGCAACACTGATCATTACAATTAATGTGTCCAGGAAGCCTGAAAGTCATTTTGGGCAGACAAATAAGTTTATTTCCACTTGTTCAAAAAAAAAAAAAGGAAAACAATTTTAACTCATAAATTACATATTTACGTACAAGAACAAATTAATTTTCAATTCTATTTTTATCTTAAATAAAGAACAATCAAAGCATTCAATGATAATTTTGGCAAAAACTAGAAGCAAACATAAAAGAAGAAATAGTAGTATAGAATAAATAAAGCCAAGCGGTAACATGTCTCAGGCTACCATGAATACTGGCCCTGTTTACTCTCTGTACACTTGTCTCAATGCATCGTAATTTGAGTACGACTCAACAGTTTGGACCAGGTCATTTATCTCCAATAAAAGAAGCCCTGCCCTAACTTCCGCATTTTAAAAAGTACTCTCTAGCATTTGTGTTTTCATATAAACAAAACACAAATATATCTCTTTTATATTCATGGCAACCAGGAAATAGGCATGTTAAGATACTCTTTAAAAAGGTTTACAAATGTCATTAAAAAAATCCTGTACAGAATCACAATACTGACAGAATTGAATGCCCACAAGCGCCTTGCTGCTTTTTATATCATCCTTTTCCCACAAAAACCCATGCAAAAGGCTTAATAATACATATCATAGGTAATTTGGGAGGCAACAACCCATGGCTCTAGATGGCGTGACTATGACTGAGAAATTCCACCCACAAAGGGACTGTGTTCTCTGATACCTTGCAGACTTGATACTCTATAAATAAACCATTCTGGAGGAAAACCTCTCTGTACCCTGGCAACACTTATCAGAAATCAGTTAGGCCATAGCGACAGGGAGGGACTTCTATACAGAAGACAGGATAGCAGCTGGTTTTGAGATGGTATACCTCTTCTGTTCTGCTCAGAAACCACAAAGGTGTTTCCGGGGACTTAACTGGGCACTACAAAAGCAGAGGATGGGCCTGTACTAGGGTCAACAGTGGTATCGGTCCGTAGAACTTAAAAATCAACATTTCTTCACATGCACACACATACATACACACATGCACAAATACACACACAGGCACGCACGCATGCACGCACTCACGCACGCACGCAGATAAGGGCTCTTCCTAAGAGAATGCATAAAACCGGTTCAGAGAGGTACTTGGAGCACACCAGTGATGATCTCCTGACGTTCAGTAGCTTGAGCATTTGGCATGTTTGCTGTTTCACCAGTTCAGGTTCACTAGTCCTTAGTCTCAGCAAACAATCAGTGGTCTTGCTCAAGAAACCAGATTACGTGTAACCCTTGAGTGGACCCAGTAGGTGTCTAAGAACATGACATCAATGCTCAATGAAGGTTACATGAACTGGACTGAAAACCGTTCACACAACTGTTGTACCTCCCTAAAGAAAGCTTGTAAACATCTGGTAAAGGTGAATGAATGGGATAATGTTTAAAACTGGCCAGAAAAGATCCAGAAACGTTTGGCCTTTCAGCACCCAAGGCTCCCAAAATATAATGTTAAAACATCTCTGCTAGAGGGATCTCAGTCATCTGAAAAACGTCAGGCCTGAGTGGTTAGACCATTCTCCCCCAAAATCTTAAGAAGTGCAAGGATTTTCCACACTCAGGAATTGCATAAGTGTTTACCTTTCTTCAGAAAACAAAAATAGTGAATGATACAGAGGTAGCATAATTTACTAAACCAACTCTGAAGCCCAAACACAAAAGAGCAAGGTAATGTTCAAATGCTAACAGGAGTATTGCAAGAGGCTAAGACTTGTGGACTTGGGCCTGCTTCTACCTGCTTTTGGACACCTTATCATTCTCATCTCCTTTCTTATCACAAGGACACTGATACATCCAGGCTCCCTGTGGCCCAGTAGCATCTACCGCAACATCAATGATAGAGTCTGGAGTCATCCACTGCAGGAAAATGAGGAAGAGATAGCTGAACACCGCCAGCAAAGCAAAAATGTAGCCTGTCACTGGGCCACAATGAGAGATGAGCCTGTTCAATCTCTTGTGCATTGGCAACACAGTTTCCTTGGACACACGCTCGTACACCTAGAAGAGAGAAGGTGACAATGAGCACTCTGAGCCACCACATGCTTGTAACAAAGGGTGATCCATGAGCCACAATGACCAGGAGCATCTGGCAAACACATGTTGACAGAATCACCCATGTTTGCTGTCACTTTGCACTGTGCTTACACTGACTTAATTCTGGGCTAAACACCGAGTAACACAGAGTGCCAGTCAGCTGACTCCAGAATACCACAAATCCTATAAGGTCAGAAGAAGGTTCCAGCAGGCAAGCATACTGTTGAGTTGGGCCAATGCCTCAACAGGGTGAAGAAAGCGCTCACTAACGCCTAGCAGGCGGCACACACAATCACAGAACTGTACTGAGGATGGATGGAGACACTACAGAGAAAGGGCTTCTACACTGCAAGTAAAGCAGGGAAGAGACAGGGTAGATGCTGAGCGGCAGAGTCAGTAAAAACAACGCTAAGGAGAACCAAGAGGACTGTGCTAAGAACTGGGGGTTGGTGCTTGCTCTGTAAAACGCTGCTCATCCCACATCCTGAAAACCTTAGGCCTGCAAACTTGTCTCCCTGGAAACTGGAGAAAGTCACAATGGGTGGCCTTTGAAGGCATGAGGCCTGTTAGTCTAGCTCTTCTACCCCGGGGACAATTTAAATACAAACACTTTAATCAGAATGATGTTGAGAGACTGAGGCCAATGGATTGTAACTAAAAAATAAAAGTAAAAATGTTCCTTATTAGCAGGAACTCTAACTTCTTTTGGAGACAGGGTTTCGTGCAGCACAGACTGGCCTCAAATTCCGTGGGTAGCTGAGGATAGTCCTGAAGCTCTCGTTTTGTTACTACCTCCAGAATGCTGGGCTCTGAGGTGTCTACTACCATGCCCAACTTTCCAAGTTACTTTTCAATCAGTGTTCTAAGCAACCCAGTCAAATTAAAAGGAGTCGAAAAGGATCAAAATGTCTGTGAGGTAAAAGACAGAATAACTTTTTTGTCCATCTTCACTTGAGGTCAATTCATTTATTATCCTAAGTAATAAACAATTTACGACTATGAAGAGAACATAACTATTTTAAATAAGGATTTACTTTTTTCTGTTTATCTGTCTTTTTGAGATAGTATAGCACAGAACTATCCTGGAACTCACTGTTCCGCCCAGGTTGGCCTGAACTCATGGTCATCTTCCTGCCTTGGACTCCCAAGTGTAAATCACCATGCCGGACTGGATTTTTTCTTTTTCTTTTTTGCCCCCTTTTCTTTTTTTATGAATATTTTTGTAGCACAAATTAGCAGAACTATAAAAGAAAAACATATAAGATGCTTTACTATTATCTCAAAGCAAAACCATAAGAAAAAAATACCATTACAAAAATGCTGGTTAGCACCTTTAACACTGGCTGATAAATCACCATTGCAATTCTTCCCGGAGTTGGCTTACTCAGCTCAGACTTTGGAGGTTTGCATGATGACAAAGTCAAATCACAATTTACAGAGCTATGATTTCAAATCAGGGTGGAGTCAAGATCACCAAAAAAACCTGTCTGGCCAACGAGTCCTGCCAACCATAATCCAAACTGCATTTCTGTTCCACAAGGAACAAGTCAGAATTTAAGGCGTGGTTGGGGCGGTAAGCGGACGCAAGAATGAGTAAGCAGTCTGACGAGGCTGTCCACATGATTCTGATATGCACCCCCGTGGGCACCTGGCACTCAGTCCAACTTCCAGGAAAAAGGGCACTTATTTCCCTAAGTTGATATACCTCTTCAGTCAAAGTTCTGTCTGCACCTTTTATATCAATGAAACATAGAGTATATGTCTACTTTTAGAGATAGATCTCATAAACGAGAACTTGTATCTCAAACCAAGAAAGATTTTCCAGGCTGCTCCCTGTATTTAACACCCAAAGCATAAATCCCCGACTCTATGGGAAAGGGGAGGCGGCGATGGGGAAGAGACAAAAATCTTTAATTAATTAATAAAGAAATAAATAAATTTAAAAAAAAGAATCTCAAAATAAATAAATAAATAAATAAATCCCCGACTCTAAACTACAACCCTCACCATGCTCCTCAACTCTCTTTCTAGTACAGGATTTACTGGTTTGCTTTTTCTTTCTTTTCTTTTCTTTTCCTTCAAGAAAGGGTTTCTCTGTGTAGTCTTGGCTTTCCTAGATCTAGCTCTGTAGATCAGACTGGCCTCACACTCACAGAGATTCACCTGCCTAAGTCTCCCAAGTACTGGGACTGGGGACATGCACCACCACCGCCCGCCTGGTACAGGATCTCTACATACGAAGAAAGCAAGTTGTTTTCCTCAGCTTGGCAAGCGGTAACATGAGGAATGAGGCAGAAATAGACACAAGGGAGACCTAACAGATGACACTGAGCAGAATAAATACCACAGCATTTCCCACAATTGTCCTTTTGAAGGATCTGTCAATCCGGCATGTGTCTTTTTAGAAAGTCCCTGTGGCTCTTTTCTTATTGGTGACTATTTGTCCTTAATTTCACATATATTTTGAATTCTAATATAGTGTCAATAGATCTAAAGTTATGACACTCCTTTGTGACCTCGGCGTATCAGTCATCAGGAGAAGAATTCCAAGAGCTCTGGGAAGTATTCTGACTCGACATTCATAATTTAGAGCAGACCCTGCTATCACCTACCCATTTGCTAGCAATAGGCCCTACGCGCTGCAGAATTAGAAACAGCCCCAACACAAAGATGCCACTTCTCTTTTTGCTTCTGACTGCTGGAACTTCTAGAAACTTTTGTGACTTCTTTAGGGGGTTTAATGAGACTGACTGTGTTGTTGCTATTGTCAGAGGCCGGGGCAGTGATTTCTGTAGAAAACCAGCCAAGCGTGTGCACCAAAGCTGATGCAGAAATAATTACTTCTTTCCTTTTGGAAGGGCTCATGCCCTTAACCCAAAACTCAAGGGGCAAGCCTGTTCACGAGAGAAAGCAAAGGTGCATGCAAACACGGAGGAACTCGCAAATCTTTTACCGACACGTGACCCACCTTCTCAGTTCGCTCTGCCACATTCCTCCAGGTGTAGAAAGCCTTTACCACATTGTGGATATTTTCTGGAGTTGGCAACGTTCCCGACTTCACTTGGAAAATAGCTTTTTCCAGGCCTTCACACAGAGATTTTACTGAAGGCTCACATAAAATAATAAGGTTTTCCGGAAGGACTTCAGGAATGCCACCAACCTTCGTGCTGACAACCTTAAAAAGACCAGAGAGGGCACGGGATGCGCTGGGATCATTTCTCAGGAAAAGCGAAAGATCAAGCAAAACGATATTAATTTGGCATGTACTGCAAATACCGAATCCCACGAATCCCACAAGAGAAGCCCTTAGAATGGTTTACCTGCAGACCACAACTGGCGGCTTCCACAATTGCCATGCAGAATGCTTCAGTGAGGGAGGTGTTAAGAAAAATATGTCCTTGAACTAAGACATTTCTAACTTCCTTGTGTTCTAAAGCGCCCAAAAGTTGCACCCTAATTTTTGTAATGAGAGGAAGAAAAAGAAAGGTGTAAAAAAAATTAAAAAGTCATGACACAAAAGAAATTTACTTTCTAAGCCAAGCTTGTCATTTGTATTACTCTTATTGATACACTAATGCTTCCTACCTCAAAAGATATGGCCAAACCCCAACATAATAGAAACAACTCTAGCAACCTGTTGGGTTACAGCTCATACAATGCAATTTCATCTTTTCCAAAACTAGTTTGTGTTTAATGAATATTATGTTAATTTTTTTAAGACAGGGTCTTACTATGTAGGTCTGGATGTCCTGGAACTCACTCCACAGACCAGGCTAGTCAAACTCACAGAGATCTGCCTGCCTCTGCCTCTTCCACCCAAGTACTGGGATTAAAGGCATGAACCACTACACCTAGCTAATGAACAAATTAATAACATAATCATAATTAAATGTTAAAAAGTGTCATTTCTAAGTGGGGAAAAACCTTTTAAAAATCAGCACTTCATATAACATGCATTGTGTGTTAAAGAAATTATGGAGGAAAAGATATGTTCGAACTTGTATGTATACAGCAATTTACATGACTAGATCATGACACGTAAATCATAACTTAAGATGGCTTGGAAACCTGCAACCATTTCCAGCCAAGGTTCTCCCCCCAACCCCGTGCCTCCAACACCTGAACCCAACTCAATATTCAGCTAACAGACAAAAGCTGTGTATTCTGTAAGCTTTCTTATTTGGTAGAAATTCACACAAGAAACCAACATGCCTTCTATTTGCATGCCCCTTCTAAAGAGAAGTAGGAGCACAGCTAAGTCAGGCATGTGGTCAAAAGCAAACATGAACAACTATCATTTCCACACCGCAATGCCTTGGAAACTGTTAATACCTGTCATGTAGTTGGTATCTTTCCCGCACTTCTTCCAAAATGATTCTCTTTGGCCCCTCTCCTCCAATTAGGAAATTTAATTCTTGGTATTTCTGACAGAGTTCAGGGATTATACCACTAAGCAAATCAGTCCCTGAAATCATAAAGTTAAATATCGGAAATATTAATATTTAACACTTAAAAAAAAAAACTCACCAGAGTCCCTGAGAATCTACTCGTCTTAAGAATCAACTATAGCTAGCCTCCTTAAAATAGACATACCAAGCCTCTTAACCCCTTCCCAGAAGCGGGGAGTCGTCAACCAACTGCCATTGGTTCCCAAGAGTTACAACACCCGAAGATACAGGTACGGACATGCATTGGTACTGCTACATACCCAAATCATGAGCAATCCTGTTTCACCTTTGTAGTCTTTAAGACATTCACTTGTGCTAGCTTTCTCCAGAGCACACAGCTGACTAGAAATCTAGGTCTGGCTCCAGCTTTAGTTTTTAAAACCCGTCCACCCTATCATCATGCCCTAGTAGATGCAGAAGCATATCTCTAAAGTCCAAAGTCTCCAGCTATAAAAATCAACAGGTCTATGACTCCACCCCTTGCAGCAGGAAAGGGCTAAGCAATCACCTTAGCTACTGCTTTCACTGTGTTCAGACTTGCAGTTTATACAGGGAATCTCAGAATGAACGCCTGTGAATGCAGGTGGCAGGACCTCGGCTGTAAGATCATTATAGTTCAGAAACCTAAGGCTATAGCTTCCTTTTGTTTTCAAAAAAGAAATGGTTTGGGCTGGAGAGATGGCTCAGCGGTTAAGAGCACTGCCTGCTCTTCCAAAGGTCCTGAGTTCAATTCCTAGCAACCACATGGTGGCTCACAACCATCTGTAATGAGATCTGGTGCCCTCTACTGGCCTGTAGACAGAATACTGTATACATAATAAATAAATAAATCTAAAAAAAAAAAAGAAATGGTTTTCATCTAATATGTAAGCATAATCTCAGGAGATATAAAGCAATAGAATAAGGCACAGCCTACTGGTATAAAGAGTAGCTAGCTAAAGCCATAGTAATGCTGACACTACTTGGGAACTTGGTTCATCGACAATTATCAACCATACGTTCAAAAGTAAACATGAAATAATCTATTGAGCCGAGTTTATTCAATTAAAAATGCATACACATAAATTTGCATATGCACACAAAGTCCATTTTTCCCATCAATCTTCCTCAAAATAGACAGACCAATTATAACGCATGATGGGAAAATACAGATTCGCATGGCTTTTCCTCTCTTTATAGATTACAAACCACACCTTCCTTCATATTGCATGAATTATGTGGATAATGAATCCCTATGGATTCTCATTCCGTGTTCTTTTGATCCAACTAAAAGGAACAATCAGATGGCGAGTGTGGTTTTCATCGCCCAGCCGTGTTACCCTGGCAAACACTCGGGTACTTCACCACTATACATACAGTCTCACTTTGCACCCTCAGAATGGCCGTCCCCAGATTCATTAGCGATCCAAAGAAGTGAATTTCAAAAGACAAAGGAAATCCCTTTAGTCTTTACTTTGAGATACTGAACATATAGATAAAAAATATTCGTTCCACGTATCTGACTTCTTTGGGGACATTTTCTGCTCTAAGCTTCCACCTGACAAGATAAACCATAACAAAATCATTTCTCCCACAGATTCTTTCCTTCATAAGAAATTTTGCTTTGGCTATTGTGAGGTTCTGAAGTTGCCCGTGTCTCTGGAAGCTGCTCAGAATTTAGCCACTTTGTGCAATCACCAATAGGTTTTTCAAAATGATTATGTACACCAAAAATCAACTGAGTTGTAGGGTTCCTGAATGATGAAAGCTTCCCATTAGCCAGCCTCGTTTCCAGTCTACACACATCAACTGAATTGCTGGAGAGCCAGGAAATGCCTTAGAACCACTTAACATTTAGCTTCCTACACTTTCTCCTTTTCCTGCCTTTGAAAGAAAATATTAAGTGCCCATTCTTCATACAGAAAAGAAGGGAGCAATCATCACAGCTGTAGACAATGGCGACGTTTACCGAACTGGCTATATTCACAATCTACTTCAAATGTACAGGGTCATTTAAACCTGATTTAAAAAAAAAAAAAAAAAAAAAAACAACCTTATACGCAACAGAGTCAGTCAGCATGATCAATGCTGTATTATAGTACTCCAGGAATAAAGCAGGTTTTCCCCTCCTCACTATAAAATAAACAACCAAACAGCAACAAGCTTACTCTGGCTAGATTCTAAGAGGACTCTAACACAAACCACAACACACAAAATGACCACCAGTCACCACATTCACACAAAATAGACCCAAAAAACCCCACTGATTCCAACTGACTTTAAAGCCCGGTCCAGCCATGTTTTAAGAACATTCAGATCTGATCCAGGATAACACTGGCCAGACTGAGGGCAAGGGCACAGGCAGACCTTGACTCAAGAGCTGGACGCATTTGTGATCTGTTGCTTACTTTGTAACCTTGGGTGAGTTACTTACCCTCTCTGAGAACTGTTTCTTTTTCTGTTACCCTACAGTTGTTGGGGCAAGTGGGATACTGTGCCATGCACAGGCTATCGACTGCAGAATACAAATGTTGTCTTTACCACTGCAGCAAGCAGCTGGAGGTGCCTGCACACACAGAGAACGGTGGGAAACCTTGACTAGATGGAAGAAGGCTCAGAAGCCAGCCTTTTCTCTACAAAAGCTGAGCAAGGAGAACATGGCTTTATCCTCTTAATCTTAGAAATCTGGTCCACTGAACATCTCCTAGGGAATTACAGTATTAGGAAGGAATGGATCATATTATAACTCTCACATGTGAGCTATGGACATGGCCTTTGCTCTTCACGTTACATTCTGCAGGCGCCTGGCCTATGGTGACAGTTCAGTATATCTGTTGAATTACTGAATTGAAAACAGGAACGACCATATTTTGACTCCATTCTTGCTAGTTCTGATGGTTAAACTACCACATTCATGAGATAAAGTAACATGTTTAACCTTTGTATGAGTAGCTGTGGAGATCTTCAATCACACGTACCATCATACTTTCTCATCTATCTCAGCAAGGTAAGCTATCTGATTAAAAAAAAAATTGGGGCAAAGTTTTAAAATTATAATATATACATCACCAGTATCCCACAAAGGGTACAGAATACAGAATTCCATTCACATCATCTTGATTAAACAGCAAGACATGATTTCCTTTATCCCAGAGAACGTAACTGAGTCCAAGTTTTCTAACTTAAGGGCGTTGTGCAGAAGTATGACAATCATCACCTATACTGACCACTGCCAGCTCCCAAATACACCGCTACTTGACAGAGCATAGCCTGTTGGTATTTCTCCACAGATTCATCTTGTGCCCATTTTCCTTATGACTATGTTGAATACTCTAAGTATCTATCACATAAGCTGACAAGTTTCTACAAAGGCTCAATAGTTTGAAAGAGCCAAATAAATAAATACCCGGAAAAAAAACAAAAAACAAAAAACAGTCCTTGTCAGATGAAAGGTGACCTAAACTGGAGAGTAAAACTGGAAAAAAAAAGATTTTAATCCAGCCCATGATTTCAAACATTTTAGTCCCCTCCTTTAAAGGGAACCCCGAGTAGCAATGATTGGTTCTGTGAAAGCACCAGGAAGCAGTGAGCTCATTCTCGAGTCCTAGAGCTCTCAAAGCTCCCTACAATTCAGCCTGTGCGAAAACGTTTCAAATTCAAATAGTTAAGGGGAGCATGTAGCACAAACCTTCAATGGTATTTCTGACTATTGGACAACTTTTCACATAGCACCAGGAGACCAGTTCCATGTTAATAAGCAGGTGGCTTCATATGTGTAATAAACACGATGCTACATGGAACCATTAGTGCCACAAAAATTGGAAAACCAGCAGCAAGAACACAATACTCCTGAGAGATAACATAAGTTGGAGGTGGAGGATAATCTAGGCAAAGATCTTTATAAGAGTTATCTCTGATCCATCACTAAGTTCCTGTTGTGACCCCAACAAAAAAAAAAGGGATGCAGAACTATGAAGTGACCTATCTTTGATCAGCAATGAGCCAGGTTCTGACCCTGGGCCACCTACTCCTTCATCACTTGACTGCTTATATCAATGCCTTGCAGATGACCAGATAAAATCAGCAAGCCTCAGGACAGCAGGTGCCCACAAGGCCTACTGATTTTGAATAACGCGTACAGCGGTACAAAAGACAAGAAGTTACCAATGAGAACCGTCATTAGGGCCATCTCTGAAGAAAACAGTCACAGATGTGCTACGTGAACTTTGAAAAACTGCAATTAAGAAACCATTACTTCTGCAATAAAAAAGCAAAGGCCACACAGCACATTCTGTTCGGACTACCCATGCAGGGCTCCTGAACGTTTACGAAGATCTGATCAGAGGACATCGTGTAAACGCTTTGGTCGCTGTTGTTCAGTGATCATTACAACATCAAAGGTTGGGGCAGCATTCGTAGCCACTCTATCCATTTCTCTTATTAGATGTATAAACTTGATATCCGGCCTTCCCTTGCAATAGTTACACGTCATTATAAAACCACCACACAATATAAAAAGGCAAGCAATCGTTATATACAAGTATCGAACAGTTTTCTACAAGGAATAAAAAAAAAGTCGTCAATGCAAATAGAGCTACAATTTCATTACCTTTTCTGTAAACAAGTCTGCTGACAACAACAATAGTTATTACACTATCATGCCTCCTAAATGGCTCTGGAGTGAAGTCAGTAGGGTCTACAGCGTTAGGAATGACGGACACTATTTCAGGATTCAGTGCTGCTCTTAGGACAGTGTTTTCCTTACTAGTATAAGAGACACAAATGATGTGGTTTGTGTCACAGAGAGACACAGTTAGAAGCTTGTTTGTGAGCACCGAGCTGACATCAGCAAATCCGAAAAGGGAATGGTCTGTGAAGACTGTCTGAAGCCCCATTGTCTTGGCGTGGAAGAGGGCATCATGGGCCATGGCAGAAAAAGAACTGTGGGAATGGATTATGGTAACTCTCTCCCGAACAAATATGTACCTGAGCAATGGCAGACTGTGAAAGAGAGTCGTGGCTGTAGATTGGTTGTACATGACTCTGAGAGGCAAGTAATAAACTTTGAGGCCATTGGTGAGGTAACGGATGCCCTTTCGATTTCCGTATGCATGGGTGACGATTATGACCTTGTGCCCCCTCTCGATGAGGCACTGAGAGAGCTGGTAAATGTGGCTTTCCACACCTCCCATGTTTGGGTAGAAAAAGTCAGACACCATGCATATATTGTGGGTGGAGGTCCTGTTGGTGGAAAGACTTCGAGGGCTAACCCGGGATGGCTTCACTGAGGGAGGCTGGCCATGCCCACCTCGTCTTCTATTGGCCATACTGACGTGGTTCAGGCATCAGTTCTCAAAACAAGCCAATTAAGAAATGTGTCTTCGGTCATCTGAAAGATAAAAACAGGACATCAGCTCAAAGGCACATCCCATTTTCTATTCCAAATCCTGTAAGAAATAGTTGTAATGTTAAGGCAATTTTTAAAGTTTTCCCCCTAAATTTATTCATTGGTCATTTACTTGTTTAGCATGGTGACAGGTTATATGGCAAAACTAGATCCTGCAATGTGTTAACTGAGTTAGGAAACTGGTCCTTTTCTGGTTTTTTTGAGACAGGGTTTCTCTGTGTAGCTTTGGTGCCTGTCTTGGAACTAGCTCTTGTAGACCAGGCTGGCCTCAAACTCACAGAGATCCACCTGCCTCTGCCTCCCAAGTGCTGGGACTAAAGTTGTGCGCCACCACCGCCTGGCTTGGAAACTGGTACACTTTAAATGTTAGGCCATAGTACTTAATGGTTTGCCACAGTAACAAACCAGTTCTTTCCAATAATTAAGCATATACCCATATGTTCCCCCTTTCCTCTTATCACTTTATCAGCGTCTACATATTAAGTCACTATACATCCAACACTACACAGAGTTTTCTATATGCTATATGTGTCTAGTTGACACACCTAAATGAAGCATCAATTCTATAATACAAATGCAAATTTTAAAGCTTAAAGAAGTTAGAGGGAACACAATATGGCAGGTTTTTCCATTAGTGATCCTCTCTACCCATATTTTCTTAAACCAGATTTTATCTATATAGCTCACACTGGCCTTGAATTCTAATATTCCTAGCCTCTGCCTCCTGAGGGCTGGGATTACCGGCATGCACCACCACACCCCAGAATGTCCCTTACATTTGGACTATTTAAGTCACAGGACATGGTACAAGTGACACACAAATCTTTGACCTCGGCATATAAAAGGTCTGATGGCTTTCACTTCTGTAGTTAGCACAGAAGTCACACAACTACTGGGCTAGAAGGACAAGGGGGAAGCCAGGCATGGTGGCGCACAACTTTAATCCCAGCACTCAGGAGGCAGAGGCACATGGATCTCTGTGAGTTCAGGGCCAGCCTGGTCTACAGAGTGAGTTCCAGGACAACCAGAGCTACACAGAGAAATCCTGTCTCGAAAACAACCAAAAAAAAAAAAAAANAAAAAAACAAAAAAAAAAAAAAAAAAAAAAAAAAAAAAAAAAAAAAAAAAAAAAAAAAAAAAAAAAAAAAAAAAAAAAAAAAAAAACTAAAACAAAAGGAGGACATGGGGGAGACAATAAAGAGAAAAAATGCTTCCAAGCTACATGGAGAGGAAGGGACCCAGCCATCTCTATGTCCTGACCTGTGCCTAATCTCTAGGCAGACTATTAGCTAAATGCAGCCACCCAAGCAACCCCTAAAAAGACTCATAAAAGTATCACTAGTTAAGACTAGGAGCAGGTTCCAGAATTATACAAAATAGCACAAAGACTGTTGCTTTCTAGCGTTACCTTTTGTTCTGGATTATTATGAGGCAGAAAAGGATACTAAAACAGGCTAGGTTCTGAACCTAATTATACTGGCACATTGTCTATTTTTATAAAAAATTTTTACAGGAACGTGGCTTGCTCATTCACTTATGTGAATGGCTACTTCTATGCTACAATGCAAAGTGGCTTTGAAAGAGATCATATGACCCATAGAGCCTAAAATATTTGCCATCTGGCTCCTCACAGAAAATGTCCCGATGGCTGCTGCGCAGTTCGGCTAGTGATCCAGTTCATCCATAGGGGTTCCGCTGGTTAGCTTTGTGGTTTCCACTAAAACACACCCGGGAGCTAGAGGTTTCTCTTCAAGTGTTACCTGGAACTCAGGCTGCAGACCATCCAGCTTCTCCTTCCTTAGTCAAGAATGCTGACACTCAAACTGCTCCCTTCTCTTTTCTGAGCCCCTTTTAGTTATGTAGGCCTTTCCTCCACGAGTGCCCTCCTTTCAGCGCAGACTCTGGAAAGACACACAGAACTGGGCATGGGCTATTTGTGTGGGCTCTTTCCTACCTCTTCTTTTTTTTAAGTTCTGGCTTTTCGAGACAGGGCTTCTCTATGTATCTCTGGCTGTCCTGGAACTTGCTCTGTAGACCAGGCTGGCCTCGAACTCAGAGATCTGCCTGCCTTTGCTTCCCAAGTGCTGGGATTAAAGGTGTGTGCCACCAACACCTGGCAGAAATGCTTCTTTTAGGAGTCTCCTAAAGCTACGCTGATATGAAACGCTCATTCAAAACGCAGTTCTATAGATGCTTACACTTTTAACGCTAAAGCCTTGGAGATCTAAGATGGCAAAAATCCTTATATTAGATCTATAAGGCTATAAGAACTCAATGGAGAATTACTGTCCTAAAAGCTGAGTTTCAGGTCTCACTTGAAAACTATTTGTGTTGATTTTCCCCAACAAACTCATCTATACTTCTAAATACTCTCGGAAACACAGAGTGGGGAGGCAAGGGAGGAGCATGGAGGTGGGAGGCAGAGGGTTAAAGGGCTCCAGAGCAGCTAAGCCTGGGCTATGTGGGGGTACTCTGCCATATAAAACTGGGAAAAGAAAAGAGAGAAGGTCGAACTTACAACCAATAAATAAATAATGAAAGCAAGAAAACATTAAGTTTGCAGAAAGAAAGGAAAGTCTCGTTAACACTTTTAAGTAGCCTAACGCTTCTACTGCGGTGTGTCACCTAAATCTGAATCTTTAGTTCAATTCAGCTTTAAGAAATGAATGATAAGGAAAACAGAGTAATAAATCAAGTGAAATTATCTGAAAGCCTGTCACCCACCTCCAATGTTCTGTTAGAAGTCTGCCCGCCAGCAGGCTATCCTAAAATCTTTATTGCGTAAAAGCTCAACATATTGCATACTCATTGAATCTTAGCTTCTATAGGTTAAGGGAGGCTGTAAAATCTGGTGAATTCTCACTCGAACGTTACAAGTTGAGCAGTCTGTCCAACGTAAATGACAAAGGCAAGAACACCTCAAAATTCTCGATCATGGCCAGGGAACTCGCTTATTAGCAGAAGCTCCTGAGGCGCCTTAGAGGGAGGATCGGACAGGGCTGAGGAATCAAGAGATCCGTACTTCAATCTAGTTCCAGGACAGCGCCCCCGCATGACTCCCTCGGAGGCAAGTTGGATGTACTAGAGCCAAAGCGGGGGTCAGCCCGGGTCCATCAGTCACCCCTCCGAGATCAGGCAAGGTCTGAGCAGACCCAAAGGGAGTCAAAAAGCGTCCTGAGGTTCCAGTTCCTTGCTCTACTAAACTCAGCGGAGGAACCGGCTCCAGTTCTGAATGAACCCTCAGCCCCACTCAACTCCGGAGACCCTCGGACCCGACTTCGGTGCCTCCGGCCGGGTGGGCTTCATCCCCTCCACAGCCTGCCACGCTCTTACAAGAACGGCACAAGCTCGTCCGAAAGCGCGGCAGAGCATTGTAAAGGACAGCCAAGACGCGCACTTACCCTCGAGTCCCATGGCCGCCTCTGTCCGGACCTCCCGCGGCTGTAAGCGGAATCCCGCCCCGCTGTTCCAAAGCACCAATCAGAAGCGTCCGCGACCCGAGCGCCGCGCCCCCTTGATAGCCAATCACATAGAAGTTCTGAATACACGTAGCAGAGAGACGCCCAGTCATTCCCAACTCTCCAGCGCCAGATCGTAGCGTCAGCGAGCGCTGGAGCACGTCTCCTAAGGGCTGCGGAAGGTCCCGGGCGGCGTACCCTAGTTGCCTAGTTACAGCGTCTCTTTTCAGGAAGCCCGGTCTCTCTCCGCCTCCTTCCGGTTAAAGAGACTTGCCAGAGGAAGGCTGGGGAAATCAGGGTCAGGGCGGTTTGTGATCAGTACCTTAGCCTACTCAATCACGCTGGTTCTTATCACTCTGCACTCTGACATGGTTGCTAGATGCAATAAATAAAAGTACACGGATACGAAAAAGAACCCACAGCAAGTCAAAAACAAAATTATGAACTTTGAATTTCAGATCTACTTTTCTATGAATGTCCCAAAGATTGAGGACATTCCTTTTAAAAGTTCTGATTTGAGATTTTTTTTTCGTAGAACGCTACAGTCCAGGCGGGAAGAAATCTTAAGTATAACCTGAAATGCTCCCCTTCCAACTGTTGCAGTCCTTAGTCAAAAGTGTCTTGAGGTCTGGAGTCCGGTCATGACGTAGTGGTGCTTGGCTGAGAATACAGACTCCATCTGATTGTTCTAGTTAATGGTCACCCACTCTTTACAGTTGGTACTTGCAGTTCCTTGGCACTGCCACTTCTGTGCTTTCTAGACTAAATTCTTTTCTGAGCAACATTACCAGCACCATGACTGGCATCCTTTTGAAACTTGTGCTAAAGTTAAGGCTATTTTCTAAAAGTCAAAATAGCTGAGTTGAGTTAAATCTGGGGATGATTTTAATTGTAGTGTTCTGCATGAACGACTTCGAAGCATGCATTCAGAACAGCGGTTCTCAACCTGTGGGTCTCGACCCCTTTGGGGTCAAACCACCCTTTCACAGGGGTCACATATCAGATATCCTGCATGCCAGATATTTCCATTACGATCCATCACAGTAGCAAAATTACAGTTATGAAGCAGCAATGAAACTAATTTTATGGTCAGCACAACATGAGGAACTGTACTAAAGGGTTTAAAGCATTAGGAAGGTTGAAAATCACTGCTTTAGAGAATGTTATTGAAAGCCACTAAAATTTGACTAAAATATTGCTGTGCAGTATGTTCTGATGATACTTAAAATATGAAAGCCAGAACCACTTGGACTATCAAATGTCCTAAACAGAAAAGATGTAAAATAGATGTAGGTATCATCTTCCCTTGAAATTTAGTTCTTTGCCAATTCGTATGTAAATAAGCTTCCTTGGATAATTTTAGAGTTGGAAGGCACCACACATGCATTGAAAGCTTGCTAACTATATGCAAGTAGATGAAGGGAAAATCTGGCATGAGGACTGTTTCCAAACCAAGATAAAAAACTAAAGCATTTGAGATGGGCGGTGGTGGCACACACCTTTCATGCTAACACTCAGGAGGCAGAGGCAGGTGGATCTCTGTGAGTTTGAGGCCAGCCTGGTCTACAGAGTGAGTTCCAGGACAGCCAGGGCTGTTACACAAAGAAATCCCTGTCTCGAAAAACCAAAAAAAAAATAATAATAATAAACTAACGCATATGAAATGGACTATGAGAAAAGGAATTGCTAAATGTCATAAGAGAAGTGTAAGGAACATGCTGGGAATTTCAAGGCAAAGACTATTTCTCTCTGCTAGCATTTATGAAACGATGAGTAGAAGGTATCCATACAAGTTGAGAGCAAGAGCCCTTCAAGAAAACAGTGAATGAGGATGCAGAGGCAGATGCTGACTGTTCAGTGGATATTTGTGTGTTATTATACAAGAAAGAGATAGGGAAGAGATGGGGGCAGAATAATGGCATTGTCAGTAAGAATTAGTGCTTACGAAAATTTCCTGAAGAAAATATACTTGATGCTGACCCAGACTGCCAGCAAATAGGACATTTTTCAATCATTATTCTGAGACTCTTCCTTTTTCTGCTCCAAATAGAAAAATTGGATATAATATAAACGAAAAAGGTATGTGCTTTGTTGTGTGGGGTTTTTTTTTTTTTTTAGAACCCAACAGATACAGAATCAAAAGCTCAAACTCTTAAGACTAAAAGTTACATAAGCCCAAGACATTGTACTTGGTGGCAGTAAAATATGGACCAGTGGTTAGCTCCTGTACAATACCGGATACGGCAGGATCCATGTGTGACTATGGACAGAAACTAGTCTGTGAGAGACTTTTACATGGTGGCCTTCAATAAACCACCTGTCAATTGATACTTTACTCAACTCCCTCTTGCATTGAGTCTGAGATTTGACCTTGTGGCTTGCTTCATCAAAACTACTCTCAGCAAATGAAGTGCAGCGAATGCTTGCCAAGTGTTTACAGACTGGTCCATGCCCTGTTGGAATCTTTCCCCTTGAAATCCAATGATCATGTATGTGAAGAAGCCCAAGCAAGGTGTTAAATGAGAACAGTCATATGGAGAAAGGGTCTGAAGAATGAGACTCCAATTCCAATTGGTCATCCCAGATTTAGAGAAGTTCTGCTTGGATGGGATGACTTCAGCCTGTACTCTGTGGAGCAATATAACCTTCTAGTTATATTATTTCTAGCAGAAATAATAATCTTGAGAACGTCACTGCTGACTGTGGATACCAAGTTTTTCTGACATTTGTTACACAGCAACTGATAACTTGCCTGAATCTCATCTCCCCACTTGATAATGGATGTTGGAAAACTTGGCTGCATTGTTGGTACCTGTCTAGAGAAAGAATGGAGCTACTTAAAAAGGGATCTTCAGTATAACATTGTCACTGCTAATGTGGTCTATGTCTCCCAGATATCCTTTCATGGTGGTGAGAGAGAGGCATGCGCTAGCTCTCAGGGAGATTTCAAAACTTTAGAATAGATGTAATACTAAGAAAGACAAGACAAAAATGTAGCAAGGGAAATAGATTTTCGTCCAAATGCAATTAAAATAATAGACGAATGTGGAAAAAATGAAAATAACAGTTTTGAAAAAAGTATGTCAAAATGAAACAAACATCAGCTGATAGTAGATAAAAACCAATTAGAAAATTTGAAGAAGTTATTATTAATCTTTTTAAAACGTAGATCTGGGGAGGGCTGGAGTTGAGCAGTAACATGGTTGCCTAGCATGCCCAAAGTTTTGACTTTGATCCACACAGCAGGACAAGTAAATCAAAACGCTACATTTCCTCATAAATGGTAAAGTTGAAGCTACACACCATTAAAAGCAAAGACGGTGAGCCAAAACAGTCCCTTCTTTTAGTTTCGTGTGTTTTATCACAGCAACGAGAAACGTAAGAAATACAGAAAATTAGTACTTGGAAGTGGGGCAGTTGCTATGGTAAATCTGACCCTGTGGTTCTTAAGCCTTTGAAAAAGCCTAGAATGTGTGAGCAGAGCCTAGAAGACCATATTGTGGTAGCTTTAGATGCCAGCACTGCGGAGCAAACGCAAAGGCAGGTAAGTCTCTGTGAGTTGTAGGCCAGCCTACATAGTGAATGCCAGGCCAGTCAGAATTATATAGTGAGACTGTAATTGGTCTGGCAGAAATGAAGGCACTCTAAAGAGACACTTGTGTCTCTGTTAAACTATCAGACTGTTGAAATAATGGCCCCCCAAAAACTGGAAATTTCTCCAAAAAACTAGAGCTTGGAGAAGCCAAAAGAGCCCGTCAGAGGAGTAACTTGTCTCTTAGAAAGAAATGTCACACTGTTTCAACTTTATCTGACTGAAATCCAGAGGATGATGTGTCTACAGTGGGCAGAGCCACACCTTGACCAGGACTGCTTAGATGTGCATATCCTTGGCCCTCCATTTAAACTTGGATCTTACCTCAGGACTCGGAAGAGGAAGACAGATTTGAGGGGTTTGCTGGACCCCTTTGTCCCTCTTCCTCATGTGGCCACACTGAAAACTTCCATTTTTCTTTCTTTCTTTTTTTTTTTACTATAAATTTTTTTTATTGAGAATAAGAAAAAAAAGTTTCCTCCTCCTCCCAGCCTCCCATTTCCCTCCCCCTCCCCCCATTCTTCTCCCCCTCCCCCCTCTCTTCTCCCCCTCCCCCCCTCCTCTCCCCCTCCCTCTCCTATCCAAAGAGCAGTCATGGTTCCCTGCCCTGTGGATTGACTTGGTGAGGACAGGTAGCCAGGCCTGAGTCAGGGCACAGGTTATGACCCTTACGTTTGATAACAAGACCCTAAAGGAGAGAGGGAGAGAGAGAGAGAGAGAGAGAGAGAGAGAGAGAGAGAGAGAGAGAGAGAGAATCCTAGCACAATTAAAATTAAACATTACTGACACAGAGCTAATATTCCTTTCTTATATGAATATTATGAGTTAAAATAGCTAACAAGGGGGGCCCTGAACATGTCCATAACCTTAAGGGGGAACGCTCATTCCTTTCCCTAGACATTTTCTTTAACTCCCTTTTTGTGGTAAAGATGCAGCCCCACACGCCTGTCCTCAGGAGTGTCAGCTTTACTTTGTCAGTGTTACCCTGTCCCCAGGCCCCTTGGGAGCCACCCTGTGATCTCATTTAAGTTCCTTAACAACCCTCTGAAATTATTAGCTTCAAAACTACACAAATCCTATACATGACTATTATTAAAGACAATGGGGTGTGAGTTTCTCAGAGAAGCCCACACCCATGTTCTCGGGTGTGACTTCCTTTCTTCTCACACATTTCTCTCCTTCCTTTAAACCTAGTGCTGAAGAAACTCTATATTCCAATGGCATTAAGAAACTCCAGCTCCACTTCATGCTGTGTCCCCCTAAAATTGTCTTCTGTGTCAAAGCTAAGGAACCTGTTTCACGGGAGCCAAAGTCCCTAAAAGATTAGGGCAAACTCCCTAGGCTGTTTCAGGTAACAGCACAGAGCTGTGCCTTCGTCTTGTCACGCACTGCTGGCAAA